AAATGTCGTCTAAGCAACCCTTACGGAAAAACACTCAAGTTTTGGGTGTTAACACACTGTCCACAAACGTTAAACAAACTCGTATATACTCCCAATATAATATAGATAATAAAGAAAAAAGTGACATTGCATTACTTTTTTGCTCCCACCCAGTAATAGGTTTAAGACGACTTGAGCGATGCTCCTACTTGAGATGTTCAAGATTTTCTCACGCTTATTGTTAGTGTCCATTTACACTATCGCTGAAGGCTATGATGAATGAGAATACATTCTAATAGTGTTTTTTCTTTTTAGATAACGCCAGGCATGAAAAGTCCGATAATAGACGACGATGCCGCAAATCTACCTACAACATACATGAAAAGTACAAGAAGAGATATTTAGATATATTTAAAATATTTAGAAACCTTCTGTAATACAATTTTATTATTGAAAAATATATACTTATTTTAATTTTCTGTTGCCACACTTATATGTATGTGTACGACATATTGTTTCGAGCATTTTCCGTGATTTGTTATAAAATTTGTCGAAAAATAGAGGCGAATAAGGATCGTGTTGATATATTCTTTTTCTTTGGTCTCACATTTCTAAACTAATCTTCGAGGTATCGGTCGGCAACTAGGAATTGCTCCGTCTCGTATTGTAATTGATAAGCGCCGATGCGGCGACGTGACGCCAGCGAGTGCGAGGGCGAAGGTGCGCATGGCTGAGTGCATGTATTTATAGCGGCAGCCTCCTCCTCTCTTTCTTCGCTACGAAAATAAGCGCTTTTCCTGTTGTGTCCATGCCGAAGAGAGGGGGGAGAGAGAGAGAGAGAGAGAGAGACGGAGGAAGGGGGCATCACGTTTTTCCTCGGGCTGCATATGCTCGACGCTCACGCGACGCCACGTCGCGCCGATCTGTTTACATTTTCCTAGTTCGCTTTGCTTGTTAGCCGGCAATACCTGGCTATTATAACGATAGAACGGTGCATCGCATTTTAGATCCCCCCCCCCCCCCCGGCTTGCAGCAAAGCGCGTG